ACACTCTCAAGTAAGGCAAAAAATAGAGGTTTGCACTTAATGGACTCTTAGCTTTTCTTCCACTAACCCAACTGAGTCTTATTATATGAGCAGCTCAGGTTTCAGGTTTTATGTGTGCGAATCTCTGTGAAAAATCAAGTTTTCTGTGCAATAACTCTTTAATTATGTCAGGAGAAAAGACACATCTGTAATAAAATAAATGGATGGAGTAATTCTGTGGTGAAGCAGTGTGAAGGAACAAATCAACTAGACTGACTTCATTTATGTGGCTGGGCAGGTCATCTCCATAACCCTGGAGGGCCATACAGGATGTTAATAAGGCTGATAGTATCTCAGCCCTCCCACCATCTGACCAGAAGAGAAGCCCCTCCAGCCCCTCCAGCCTTCGGGGGTGCAGTCACTATGGTAACATCCTGAGGCACTGACCACATGTCAGTGGGAGTCTGGGGGCCATAAGTGGCCCAGAACTCTGGCATTAGGAGGAGAGCGAGGATGTGGAACAACTGGCAAAAAAAAAAAAGTGTTGTGCCGCTGTAGAAATGTTTGAGGTGCTGTTTTTCACAGTTCATCTCTAACATGTAGCAGACTTGTGGCATGTATTCTATAATTTAACATTAAAATTCATATGAGATTAAATGTTGCAGTAATTAATTAGCAGATCATATTAAAGCCATGTGGGGAACAGCCTGAGCACAGAATATTTAATGAGATGTTGGTGTAAACATGCTGGTTGATGCCTTTTCCAGTTACAGGTGGTTTTATTCCACAAAGCCAAATTGCCAGCCATCATTCTGGCAGATGTGGACGATATCAATATTCAAGACGGTTTTTCACCGGCATTAGAGCATTATAGCGTTTTTACAGTTTGTCTGTTTGTTAGCAGGGTTACTCTAATTTGCAATAATTTGCATGGAAATTTGACCAGAGTTGGAACTTGGCCAAACTGTTTGAAATATGGAGTCAAGAATTTATTTGAAGAATTCACTACTACTGTAAAATGGTCCAAAATAGTCCAATAAATCTTCATGCATGGATATCAGATTGAAAGAGAATAAAGAAATTGCAGACATTGTCTTGATTTTTTCCCCAAAAATGTCATAAGCTAATCTAAACCCAGATATCTTTGTGTAGATGTGTAGATGTAATTTACAACCTTAGTGGAAGTTTGTAGTCTGTCTTTATTAAAGGTTATGCACTTTGCAAGTACCTGGATTTCTTAACTGGATTATTCAAAAATGCTGTTTGATCATAATTTCATTTAAAATTAAACTGAAACACAGTTAAGACTAAACTAGTAACACGCCAACTGCTTTTAAATCTGGAAGTAATGACTCACAGTGCAATCTGGAAATGGTTCCTGCAGCTTCTTGAGATTTGCACAACTTTCCCCAAAATCTGTTTCTGTTCATCACAATTTTTACAATGTCTCAAACTTCAAGATCACAGCACCCCCCCACCGTGACATCTCAGTTAGTTTGAGGTCAGGATTCAAAGCAACTCACTATTCCAAATCATGAATTTTCTGTTACTGATATAGTTGTTGCATAGCATCTCTTAATGTTATGGCCTTTGACTGCTACCTTAACATTCCTCTTTAAGGCTTCTTTACACAATTGTAAAATTTGTTGTTGCCTGAATTTTTGCAATAAGGCAGCAAAATGGATTGGACCCAATTTTGCCTCAACTGCCTTTATTGTTTGTGGCATAGATTGAGCAAAGTGCTGAAAACACCCCTCCTTTGGTCTTTATTGACATGACAGCATCACACAAAATATGAAAGCTGCACATTCATGACGGGAATCGCCATCTCCGCCATTCTCCTCTGCCCTCTGACATCAACAAATCACTTTTTTCCAGAAAAGTTCAATTTATTGGATTTTTTTTTTGGACCATTCTCTGTAAACCCTGAATATGGGTGTATTTAACAATGTGCCCAGGACTAAATTGGAGACTTACTAAGAAAAGACACCTTTTTTAGTACTTATGGTAAAATGTCAGATACACTTTTTTCCTAACTGTTTAATATTTGGGCTTTGTCCTACAGCATTACTTTTTAAAGCTTCTGGGAAACAACAGCAAAATGTAAACATTTTGTTGCACTTAAAACTGAAATCAGTTACAAGTGAAATTTTAGGCACTTCATCTTGGTGTCCAGGAAGATGCGATGACTCTATTTTTTATTTATTTTCTTAAAACTTTTTTAATATTAATTAAAAGATTTAAGAGGGTAGGGAAAAAAAAGTCATATCGCTCCCTAACAAAAATAAATGTTACCCTTAACTAACAACTCCTTGAGCGTATCAGATCTAAAGTTCATGCTTCAACGACATACTGCACACTATGTTCTGTTGCATTGTACAAAGAGCAGAATAACAAGAGCTTTTGCCAGAGGTGCGCTGTAGTTCAGGAAGACACAGACTGCAGGTTTAAGAAGCTGCAGAAAAAGGTCAATATCAGTCAAAGAAAGGTTCATTCTTCATTTAACCTCCAGGCTCTGTGGAATGAAATCTGAAGAATAACTCAGCAGTTACACAGATGTTTGTTTTTTCTCTCTGCAACATTAATGTATTATCACAACAAGAAAACAGCTGCAATTAGATCAGTCAGAATAGATTACACTGTGAGAAATACTTCCTCAGATGACTTATACCAAAGAGTGTTTACTAAAAGACGTATTTCACCAGAAAAACAAAACTTCACCGCAGTTCGTTGTTTCAGACAGTTATTCTTCCCCTGACCTTGCTCGTCCTTGGCTGTGGACTATAAGCCTGGTGACAGCAGCGTCAACTTGTCCTGTAATGTACAATCACATATTTGTGATAAATCCTGACCGCACAGATTTAAACCGTCCACTCTTGGCACCCGCTGCGGTCGATCCACAGGGTCACCGTTAGTGGAGAATATGATTTAGGAGGCCCGCAGGAAGTGGGCACACCGAGACGTCTGAGTAAATCTACACCATCTTTTACCACTTTCAAGCTCAATTTTAAGAGTATGATCAACATGGAAAATCCATATTTAAGGGTTCTCAAGAAAACTGACATTTTCAGGAGAATCCACAAGTGGCTCTAAACACTGAACATGTTCTCCTGATGTTGGACTTCTATAATGTCTATAACAACTACTGTTAATATCCAAGATGCAATCAATAAAAAAGTGATAGTATTACCAGTTAAATAAGGCAGAATGTTGAAATAAAAGAAAAAAAAAGATTAATCAAGTTAATTGCCAGTAAGTTAACCACAGCTAATTCTGACATTCAATTAATTATTAAAAGCAGGGAGAAGAGAAAGGTCCAATGAGCCATACCAAAATAGCTTTTCATAGCATGAAAACTGAAAAGAAATTCTTAAAGCTGTTCAGTTTGTAGATAAGTAAAATACTGTTGTTGTTTCAGTTTCAAAATACTCTACAAGCTACAGTTTTGTGCAGTTTTGTACATTTTGTAGATCAACTGTGATCTGTTAAAAGTACACGCACATATAATAACAGCTTACTGACTGACTACAGAAGAACCTGAAACTGTGCTTCTTAAAATTCTTCTTAGAAAATCTCAACTGACCCACATTTTGTTTTGTAAGTGGATTTTACATTAAACATTTTCAGGGCTTCACTCTAAAAAAAAGGGAAAAAATAAAAAGGAAGCTTCTTTTTCAGATTAGTTTTTATTCAGTGGTTTTACTGGTCTGACCCACCCAAAATAAAACTGGCCATATGTGGCCCCCGAACTATGAATAATTTGACACCCTGATGCACAATCAATTATCAAATATGTTATCTGGTAAAAGCTTTACACAGCTGGTATTTCATTTTTTTGCTGTTGAACTGAATATCTTGGGGGTTGTCACTGATATGTAGAGTAAACAAGTAATCTGAAGATTTTACCTTGGGTTTTGGGAATCTCTGGTGGGTGTTTTTAAAAAAATATTTTCTGACATTTTATAAATAAAATGTAAAAATAAAACATTTTATAAATAAAATGTTCAGTGAAAGAAATATCGGAGAAACTTTTGTATCATACTGAATTTTCTAGCACCGCTCAAGCCACAGGAAGAGAAAAGCAAACAAAGCACACATGGACACACACAAATCTGATGTTACTTACAACAGAAAGAGGAACAATTTTCTTTTAATAGTCTTGACTCATATTTGTACAATAATATGTTATTTAGTCAAACTAGTGATGTGATGCGAGTGCTTCCTGTTGACAGTGAATCAAACAGGTGCATCATTTGTGTTTTCTGCTTTGTGAGGCAACTGCAAGATTTTGTTTTGTCTTTTTTTTCCCCGTGTGATGAAATCTCTAATGAAAAATGATGCAGCATAACAATCACGGTGTGAGCTAATGAATTCACACAAACACAAACCAACCCAGAGATATGCAGCCAATTTAGTGAGCACGAATCTAATTCTGGATTTCACCCTAATCAAAAAAGATGTAATTAATTAATCAGATAATTCACTGCCACGCATGGCAGGACACACATCTGTGCACTGGTAATGGGGAGGGAGAGAGCGAGAGAGAGAGGGGGAAGCTGAGCTGTGCGGCGCTTGTACTTCCCTGTAGCCAAGCTTGTCAGCAGTGCTGGAATCCAGTGCAGCTTTAAAAAAGGTCCAGCTCTCCCAGACGCTCTGATAGCCTCTCCTCTGTACTGTATGTGTGCTCTCAGCATGTGAGTACAGTGCGGCGTGTCGAAGGGATGGAAAGATCTGAAGCTGTTTGTGGTAAAGGAGGTGACATGAGGGAGGCCGTGCCTGTACAAGACAAACATAAACTGTGCCACTTCATCTGAAAACAATGGGGGACAGGACACTGAGTGTGTTCTCATCCACATCTCCATTGTCTACCCTCCTCTTTTACTCCTCCTCTGAGCATGGAGCATAAGAGGGGTGAAAGGGGGAGGGGAGGAGAGGAGGAGGGGGAGCAGCAGTGGGGGCAGTGGGGGTCTGGCTGTGTTCTTTCTCCTCTGTCTGTGTGCGAATGCACAGACGGTTCAGTAGTAATTTGATGTGTGTCCCCGGGGACATTTGATGGATTAAAGCTAAGCAGCTCCATTTCGCAGCACCACCTGATCTTCCACTGCCTGTGCCCCATATAAAGGCTGGCGTGATTGCTGATCTCAGCTAGTCTGACAGTCTCTCTCTCTCCCTCCTCTCTCTGTCTGTCTCCATCTCTTCTCTTCCTCACTGGTCCCTTAAGCCTGCTGCATCACAGGAGCTATCCAGTGCTGAACAGGATCGCTTTTATTTTTTATTTTTTTATTTTTCCGGGGGAAGCTGGGGGAGCCAGAGAGTATCACACAGCATTGCCGGCAGCCTTGTTGTCCACTGGTTTCCATTTTCTTTCTTATCTTATGTTTTTGGCTCTTGTCTTCACATTAACCACAAGGATTATCGTCAAGCCAGCTCTGCTTGTGTGCTTCCTCAGAAGGGTCTTTTCAGTTCTCTCATGCGTTTTTCTCAGCTCTGTGTTTTTATCCATTGAAACATGCCCCGCTCATTTTTGGTAAAGAAGATCAAGCTTGATGATTTCTCTTCGTCCAATGTGGCCACTTCCAATCATCATCACCACCTGGACGACTCGTTCACTTTTGCACGCTCCATCACAGACTCGGTGACCAGCCTCGGGGTTCGTCTCAGCGAGAATGGTGAGTTAACATGCCTCCAGTCCGAGCTGCTCCAGTTAAAGATGTGCTAGCGCTCCTGCCTGTAAACAGCTCCGGTGCTGATTTCAGCATGCCTGATATTTCCACACTTAGCACAGATGGTATCTTCTTTTGCTTTGTTGTTGAGTGAGAATTTCCTTTGAGTCAGCCAACAGCATGCTTGTAGCATGTAAATTAATTTAGATGTTATATTAAGCCAGCTGATTTTTGCACTGGTATCCTAAATAATCCTCTCCAGAGGCACCCCACCCCCACCAGTGTGCTCCCAGACTTTTGTTTTTTGACTCTAGTGAAGGACAGACACAATTCAGGTCAAAGCCACGGATTAGTTTATGTAAATAGGGAGCAAAACGTGTGTCTAATCAGGAGAAGCTCCTGTTACGTATTTGTATGACTGCACCAACCTGTGGTGGCTGAACGCACATGGGCTGACTATATCTGGTCATCATGTGGACTAAAAAAATTCATGAATATGAGCGATGAGCATCAGATGATACATTTGTCCTTAGCTGTTATTGTCCTTGAGTTCCGATCACGGTCCGATCCTCCCTTGCCCCCCTCTTCCCATCCAAATGGAGCATGCACAGTCTCCCCACCCCCATCGCTCCACTACATCTTTCTCTTCCTTCCGGGCATTTGAAAACTAGCAGGGGTTAGAGTTTCAGCCGTGCAGGCCTATCGCCGCCACAAGAGACATTAACACAGTGTACAGTAGAGCCAGGAGGGAGGTGGGGAGTTGGGTTAAAGGGATAGTGAGGGGAAGGAGAAAAGGGAGACAAAAATGCTTGGGGCAGCAATGAGGCCGATCACGTGACAGATGTACAGTAAACACGAAGAAAGGCACATAGCTGCACTGTGGACACCACACTCACTGCTCGCACTAAGCTCCCGTCAGAGCTGTGAGGCGACCTTCACTTTCACGGTCCGCTTTAAGCCTGCCGCTTCCATTTTGTGGCCACGTTTGGTGGGCCATATGTGAGTCTTTGTTGTGGTTTCTCGGGATGTTTGCATGGCGAGAGAGGCTTCACGGTCCACGGCTAAATGCTGTGTTCATACCCACCTGTTATTCAACCTTGTCAGCAACAAGGTGAAATTCAAAAGACGGGGGATTTTAAAAAAAAAATGTTATTCGGGGCAAAAGAGACTGAACAGGTTTACAAAACTCTAAATAACTTCCAGGTGAAGACTAAAAAAAATTATGTCTGTTAAAACATTTTTATATATTTAATCATATAATGCAGCTTACACTAATTCTGTTTTTTAGTTTTCCTTCTGCAAGATTGAAAATAATTAGAAATCCATTTGTATAATTTTTGTCACTCTCTATTGTTCTTGAATCTATTGTTCAACACCGTGAATAATGCATTATATTAAAAAGAAAGAAAACACAATAAGGCAAAACATTAATTTTGACAAAAGGTATTTAATTCTAACAAAAGAATTGTTCTTTTCATGCCGAGTTAAAAAAAAAAGGTAAAAAAAAAAGAATCCTCAGCGTGGCTGAAATCCCTAACATCAGCACTTCTGCCGTGCCAGGAGAGTTTCTTCCCCCCATTGTGGAGACATTTGACTTGAGTGTCTGTCGAACAACAAAGAGGGGTGGCTGAGAGGGTCCATTAATTACATGCTTGCTTTGCATTACAGAAATGAGTCTATGGGCTGTAAAGGCTGATACAGCTCGAGTCCTAAAGCTTCGTGTCTGACCTTGGGTAATTGAAACATAGTAAACAATTCTGCTTATACTGATGCAGCAAAGTATGCTTTGCTGATAAAAAAAAAAAAAAAAAAAGCAGAAAAAGCCCATGCTGTGATTTGTAGCATGCAATTATATTCATAACATTTAATAGTGTGGCTGCAAAACAGGTGGATTTAATTTCTGAAGCAGAAGCAGCACTTGCCTATTTAACTGTAATTATAAGAATATGTTTTTAAAGGATAAATAAACATGTGTTTTTTCTAATAATCTGGTTTTGAAAACAAGTGTTCCTCTCTTTCTGACAAACACCATCTGTGCATTTAAAAAAGTGAAGCCATGCAGTGCAGCACAATAATGTGTGCGCAGGCCTGGTGTTTTCCCTGTCCCCGGGTGTCATGGTCATGTCTTTGACAAAGTGGGTGTGTGAACTCAAACCCTTGGGAATGGAGACGCTGCAGTAAGAGAGCACTTCAACTGATTTCTTAATGGCTTGTTTCTTGGAGGTACTTCAGTGTGCTCACTGCTGCAGACAGGTGACCTTCTTCACAAAAAACGTGCATGATGCCATTTTGCACAATATCAAGCACGCACTCAATAGACTGCTATTGTGTGTTGCAGGTACTTGATCTGTTCCTCGCATTATTTCTGTCTTCTCCAGCACTCAGCTGTTCTAACAGCTGCACTATTTTTACAGATGATAGCCTATTGATCACTTCAAAACTTTGAATTTCATTAAAAAAGAAGTCAATACCTAATTTCCACTGCTTGCTGCACATGGTGCAGGAATGGCTTTTTTTCTGCAGTTATGCACTATTTGTCAGGGGAAGGAAATTTCACCACATTTTATGTTTGCTCGCTTATGTTTAACCTATAGAATATCAAGCCTGAAGGTAGTATATGCTCCAGAGATTCATAACGTAAGGCTAGATCGAGTTACGTTTTGATGCATTTAGCTGCCAGCCAGCCTTCTAGCTCCTGTAGCACTGAGCTGCTTCGGAGAGAAAGGAAAGACTTGAATGATGCCAATAAAATATATCACTCTGAAACCATGCTCTGCGCAGTTTAAATCACTTAGGGGCCTTGCTCTACTGCATCATGTTTAAACCTGCTTGAAGAAGTAGCACAAAAGACCTGCATTAGATATGCATGTATCACATTAGTCTGTTTCACAACAAGCAAAGAAACACATTTAATTTGTTAAACCTGTATAAAAAGCTTTAAAATAAAATAGTAAAAAAAGGGGAGATTTTTATTCTAGGATTTAGTCTTAAAACATAATTCTCTTTGATGTCAGCAGTCACAGTGAAGGACGGGCCAGTCAGTGAGCCTACTACATTTATGATGGGTTTTAATATGCATCTTCCTACACAGGAGACTTCTTTGATGAGCTATTATCTAGCGCTCATCTTTATTGTAAAATTGCAACCTCTCTAAACGCAGCTGAGCTTGCACGTTTCCCTGCATCACTGAGCTATTGTCTGTACAACCTGTGGGTTGTGGAAAAAATGAAATTAGCTCTGCCACTCAGTCTTTCACCATCATGCAACACTACAATCATGTAATCATTAGCATGTCACTGTGTCCTTACTCATCACAACCCTTGGCCAACTGTGTTTGTGTGTTTCTCTTGTCCAGGATACATCCAGGATTACATCACGCCATCTGTATACCAGGGGGAGAAGAAGATGGAGCACAAGCTTGCTTCACCAGTGTCAGACCCCCTGTACACCCAGGTGAGCAGCGGAGGGGAGTACTGTGACCCTGACCTGAAGCACCCCGACAGCCCGCAGTCTGGCATGACCGCCAGCGGCTTCTACACTGGTGAATCGGAGGCCCTGGCCGAGGGTTACACCATGGATGCCTTCTTCATCTCTGACGGGCGCTCGAGGCGAAAGGGAGATGGGGAGAGTCGTGGTGGAGGCTCCAGAAGCAGCAGTGCCAACGGTGGGGCTCAGGAGAGGGGAGCCGGCACGCCTCGCCACACCTGCAATGAGTGTGGCAAGACGTACGCCACCTCCTCCAACCTCAGCAGACACAAGCAGACGCATCGCAGCCTGGACAGCAAGATGGCCCGCAAGTGTCCCACCTGTAGTAAAGTGTACGTATCCATGCCAGCGCTGGCCATGCACATCCTCACCCACGACCTCAAGCACAAGTGCGAGGTGTGCAACAAAGCCTTCAGCAGGCCGTGGCTGCTTCAAGGTCACATGCGCTCACACACGGGGGAGAAGCCCTTTGCCTGCGCCCACTGTGGCAAAGCCTTTGCTGACCGTTCAAACCTCCGCGCCCACATGCAAACACACTCTGCCTTCAAACACTACAGATGCAAGCGCTGCAATAAGACCTTCGCTCTCAAGTCCTACTTGAACAAGCACTATGAGTCAGCTTGCTTCAAGGGCTCTGCAGACGAAGATGACTCTGGATCAGACAACTAACCACAAGGAAGAAGTAAAACACTGAACCCCTGTTGTAGGTTCACAACCAATAACCCTGTTCACTCTGCCCTCCATGCCTTTTTTCTTCCCTTTTTTTAGAAAGCAATATTTTCACTGAGATTACGTGAAGAAACTCTAATGATTATGGCAAAGACAATTTCAGAAGATGCTGGATTTTTTTCCCTGCACAGTAGCTAATCGTCCACAGAAACATACAATCAAACAACCTTCCCCCAAATAGAGACTGTAGATGATAGATGTACACAATTCAGCAACATGCTTGCCACGGATGTGGGAACATGGAAACACACAAAGACATGCGTGCACACACAGACACACACAGACACACACACACGATAATATATGAGGCCTGGCATGTGAATTTTTATCAATGACTAATATGATATTGATATCAATAGTAATAATATTTAGAATCCTGATATTTTATAGGAAATAGTAATGAAAAAAGAAAAAAAAACATAAAAAAGGACTAACAGTGTTCTTTTGTTTTTTAGAGACAAAATGACCTCTTGTATTTTTATGCTGCTTTTTATTTGCTAAGAATTGAATTCTTTTGCAACTGCCAACATGAACTTTTTATGAAAATGTGAACTATGACAGTATTTGCAAAAAAGGGAGATCATTTTAAAAGGTAAAAAACACAAACCCCTTTTCCACACCAGTGTTTCAATTCAATGGATGTTATTTTTCTATTTGATTTTTCTAAATTTATTTTTTTGTGCTGATTATCCCTTCTTAATCAAATGCTTCTTTGTAACTGTGGGTACTCACAAAAAAAAAGCTGAGTTAAATAAGCTATTTAAGATCATAGGTCATCCAATTCAATTCTGCAAGAGCAGTGGTTTTAAAACGTTGGCCTGTTGAACAGGTTATCACGCACTCCGCCTGATCAAATTCATAGTCTCACCCTGATGCACAGACACTGAGAGCCAGACCAAATGATCTCGTCGTTATAATAAGTGCCATGTGCGGTTGACTCGTCTATAGCAATGAAAACTCGTTGTTCTTCCTCCACCGTGGTGGCTTCCATAAACTCCAGTCTTTACGAGCAATCTTCACCCAGTGTTCGAGGTGCTCCCCCCCTCCGCCAGTGTTACCTCAGAGTGAAGGTATGGACTCACCCACCCTCAGTTACAAAGTGACAGTCAAATTTTTCTGTTTGTCTGTTTTATATGTCGCTAAAAGCTCCGCCCACGGTTTAGATGCATACCATCTATTTATCATGTAAATACTTTATTTATTTACCTATTTATCTATTTATTTATTTATTTACCTGATTTTGTGTATTTATTGAAGACTTGCTTATTTATCATGTATTTATTTATGGTTTATAATTTTTAAAAAAGGAACATCCATTGACCTTGTAAGATGCTGCTGATTTTCAAAGAAAATGTTTATATGCATGAAAACTGTAGAGAGTCCATGGGACTTAGTTTTTTAAAGAGGAACAATGTACAGTAGCAGCGCTAGAAGACTTCAAATGAATGACTGCAGAAGTATTTTTGTTTTTGTGGCAATAACTTACCTGACATAGCAATTGACATGTATAACAATCATAACTCCACCTAGGGCAATAAAATGAAACAACTTTATCTCACGGTTTCTCCAAAGTCCACCTCCCCCTCCTCTTCCTCCTCATTACTGAAGATTTTCCGGGACTTTCTGTCTTTAAATCTCAGGCGACAAGGAATTTTTATAAACGGCCGACATAGACATGGATGTAGATGTAAAAACAAGTCAAATAATGTAGGTGTAATTAAGTTACACCAAGTCTGCAAAGGTGAAAAAGCAATAATAATTGTGAGAAAGTATCAAAATCTGTTCGTATTCACCTGAAAGTATTACTGTTGTTCAGACCAAGCAGGTGCAAAAATATCTTCTGGCAGCTTGAGTAACTGAATTGCTAGAAGGTTTACAATAAATCTCATTTAACACACTGACATAATAAAGCAATTAAATATAGTTAAATAAAGTCACAACCGATCCCAAACGTGTCACATGCCGTTGAAGGAAATCTCTGAGGCAGAATAAAGCTGGCTGCAAGTACATCTTAACCAGCACTAATGAAAATGATCTTGACGTGAACTGCCTTGGTGGAGAAAGTTTTCAAGACTGTTGCAATAAAACGACGCGCTGTAATGCACTTCTAACTCCCACATCATTTGTCCCGCATCCCTCCCCACCCCAACAGCCGTCCTCATCCTGTCCCAACTGCTTCTAAACAGACGCAGCGAGGATGAGATGTGCTGAAGTGGGATTGGCGGAGGGTGGCGGAGTGTGGGAGGATAACAGGTGTTTGCAGACAGACTGCAGATAGGGAGCGTAATTGAGTCGGTGAGCGACCTCCAAGGGGAAGGTCAAGCACCAGCAGGCAAATGCACTGTCAGCTATTTGCATATTCCAAATGGATGGCACGATCATAGTAATGCTGAGCTTGCCCTTAATAAAACAAAAACACAATGCTGAGGATAAAAGAGCGTAAAGATGAGCTTCTGCTCTGTTTGTCCGTCCTCTCCTCCCCGTTTCACCATCATCCTGTCAATGCTCGCCTAACCGCTACAGCTGAATCACTGCATGAGAGCATCCAAACCACCTGTCTCCTGATTAACTTGCCGAACACACGTCGCTGTATTAGTGAACTAATGCAGAGATCACTGCTTCCAACTTATTCTATGTTTTACATTTCACCATGGCATATAAGGCATCTCCAAAACCTTTATTAAGGCAGAAGGCACCGAGATCATTAAAAAAAGATTGATTGGACATATATTATACCTGTAGGCTTCTATCTAAAACTGCGAGTATTACAGCTAGTCCTCAGAGAAAATACTAACTGCAGAGAGGGAGGCACAATTTGATTCCAAACTACTGATTTAGACGTAGGGAAACATTGTTCCTCTTTGATAATTTTGTAAATATATTTGTAAATATATCACAGCAATAATATGACAATGCATGTAGACATTTAATTGCTCTTTTTCTATTCATGCTGTCTTTTTTTATTTAAAGAAAAAAAAAGACAAATACAGGTACCAATTGCAGTCTGGGTGGCCACGTGAATCAGGGAGTGTCTTGATTAAAAAGCTATCTGTTGTAAGTTACAAACAAAAAAACCTTCAAACTCTGTGTATTCTCAAAGATTTGATCATGTTCTGTTTTTCTTTTTAGTTGTATTTTTTTTCTTTTTAATTTATTTTCTTCTATTTATGTGCCCGGCTTGGCTGCGCAATGAAAAAGTGCCAAAAAGTATGATTTCCATGACAAAAGCCTTCAACATATGGTTGGCTGCTTGAAACCTTCCATATGGTCCTCAAAGAAAAAAAAAACTGATTAAGATTTTCCACTTTCATCCTCTCTTTCTCTCTATTTATCTTCCTTCTCTCTCTCTCTCTCTCTGTCTTTCTCTGTTCCAGCTGAGTATGAAGAAACTTAAGCCATGATTGCTGAGGGGTGTTTTGATTTTATCTTGTTCTGCTACAATTAATAATGATGACAATAATAGCAATGATAACGTTAATAAAAACAATAGCACAAGGAACCTGCAAGTCCACTCTTCCCTTTAAAACCGTCAAATATGATTTTATTAAATGATAACGGGGTGTTTTTGTGTTTTTATTATCAACACATGCACACACACATGTATCCTGCAGATGTTTGCCCACACACTTAGAAAATGGCCAGCCTGGTATCTGTTTGGAGTATCCCTTAGTCAACATTAGCAGAGTGAGTAATTGTAATTATGACTATAATGTGCCATCAGCTGTAGCCTCCTCTGTCAATGTTTGAGGGATTTTATGAGCTTTACTGTCAATTTACTAACTTTTAATTTCACCGCTCGGAGGCACAGAAATGCCAATATCCTTTGTTTTTCACAACAGCTCGGAACGGGAGTGGTCAGAGGACCTGACAGCACCAATGTAGCTTTGAATAAGAGTTCCTGAGATGTCGGCGTTATCAAAAGCAGAGGCATCTGTTCCACCACTATTAAGCCCTTCCTGGTCATTAAATTTTAATGGAACATTGATTTTATGCTGGAACTACTCTTTCTGAGTGACTCAAAAGCCAGAGAAAAATATGGAACAAAATAAAAATGAATCATGACAGCGGACAGGGATTATTATTCTGGGGCTTTTCTTGATTGGTTTCCAGGGAATATACAACACTTGAATTCAATCGCTTGTGTCCTTCAGTGTCCTCCAGCAGCACAGCAGCAGTATAATGAGACAGCAGGCAGAGCAGAGCAGGGGCTCAGAAACAAGACGCTTAGCTGCACACTCCTTCCTTCAACATGGGGAAGCGGTGATTATCCTGGCTCCTGCCTCCATGGTAGTTATCCTAAAGTTAAACACGTAACAAAATAAAGCGGCATATCGGTTTTCACGTGTGGAGTCAAATGACAAGTTTATAGCCAAGTGCTGATTAAGCTCGCAGCACTGCAGACCGCACATCAACATTCACATGCGGCGCTCACTCAAACTTTACCCCGGCAGATGTTGTCCCTTATCAGATTTTATGATGAAAGTAAATAACTGATTTCATTACACGGCAATGGACTGTAAAATGGGGACCCACAGAATCCAATTACATCACCCATGGGTGTGCTGTGTGTGTAACAACAGCCACTGTGAGCGATCGCCATCAGGAGGCAGGTAGGGCAACTGTGGCCCTGCATACTATATCACACCCCCTCATCTGCAACGCTCCAAAACCCGGCACACAGCCAGCACCTCCCACTGCCCTCTCGCTGGCAGCAGATCAGGTAAATTATTTAAAACAACCTGCAAAATTGAGCGTGCTACACCCACACTTCAAAGATATTGACTTGAGAACACCATCATCTTCTGAGTGACTGTCTGAGAGAAAATATTTCTGCCTTCTGAAGGAGTAAGGGGTTAATAAAATGCTACCGCACAAATCTAGAGCAACAGGAACCGTTAAACCTCGCACACTGGAAAAAGGGTAACACTGCACACAAAATGAAGTAGCTATGTTTTCTTTACTAATACGTCAATATATTTGCCAATTTTGCTAATATGTTATCTGCCTTAATCATGCAGCGTTTGATAAAGGTTTGATTACAAAACTGTGATTTAATTTTTTTTTACTATATTATGACATTTGTTAGATTAATCAGTAAATTGGGAATCTAATAATAACAATAATCTTTAAAGTATAGTATGTGCTCTGTCCAGCATGATCTTGTCTAAAAAGTTGAACTTTAAAAAAATCTATCAAATAGAAATTAACCTGGAAAAATTTTAATACTCAAGTATCTGTGCAAGAATTTTTAAAGCAGAAGTACTAAAATACTTTGTTGTTGAATATTTATTTTAATTCTTTAGCAGCTTTTAAATGAAAGATTTGAATATTTAAAAAATCCTAAACACTCCTTTCCTATATTTTAAATATAAACTAACTGAAAAAAAAACATCTGCAGTTTTTTTTTTAAATTATTAATTTGATGTAGTTCAAATTCTGATTTGCTACACAGGCTATTGTGGTAAACACGGCAAACAAGCAGAGCTTAAACAACAATTTTGTTAATCAGTGAGTCCTTTCAGGTGCTCGCTCCCAAACATTTCCAGGTTCTGGCTTCTGACATGTGAGACTAAAGAGTTTTATATAAATAAATATTTCAGTGTTTGGGGCACATGCTGAGATCTCTTTTTTTCACTGTTCATGGAATAAATGGCTCATTAATTCATCAAAGATCGGTCATAAAATAGACTTAATGGATGCTCCTGCTGAATTTACAATCACTCTTTATTTCAGTTGCTGCAGGTGTCTCTCAGTTACTGGCTGGTGAAAAAGCAAACAACTAATCATTTTTGTAATTATCTAAATTATCATTAACTAATTCAACTCTCCTTTATCTGGTGCCGGCCCTTGCTCTGACCCTTTTCATACATCTGGCGCCATCTGTAGGCTGTTCACCAACTGTCAGCGTAAACAAAAAAAACAAAAAAAAAACCAGGCTTTGATGTTGATGACAGTGCTGTCAGTTCAACTGGATGATTCAGCTGAAGGAGAAAATCTGCTCTGCATCGTTTTCAAGCTCCTAAAATCCACATGCAAACAGTGCCCCACTGCATAACCAGCAGGTATGCACCCTGACCAAAGTCACTCAACAAGAGGTTGGTAAAACCAGCCAGGACCAACCAACTGTAACTGCCCCTTTAAGAGCTAACAGTTTGTCTTTTCACATTCTGCATCACAGGAGAGATGCTCATTAAAAGCGCCTCCATTCCTCACTGTTTCATCAAGTGAGACTGCCAAGCTCTTTAACTCAGTGTTCTTGATGTTTGTGCTGTTTGTGTAAAACCCATCTGTTTCCTCATCTCTCTGTTGGCAGAGGGTCCACCTCATCCGTATGCTTCTCTTTTTGAAGTCATGTCAAAATCGCATTTTTATGCATCTTAGATATCCAACTTGTCATCAGCACTCAGGCAAAAGTCAAGGAGGTTATTCCTTAAATAGCTCCTTTTTCCTTCATATACAATGTACGCAGTAACAAGGACAGCACTGCATTGCATTATAATTAGCAGAGCTGCAATAATTAGCTGATTAGCGTATAAGTTCATCAATCGGCAGATATTTTTTTTTTGTTCTGATGAGGATTAAAAAATATTTTACAGAATTTGCTGATTATGAAAAGGGCAGTTCAAACCCATATTCAATTGTTGTGCTTTTTTAAAGCATACTAATTAATGTCAGTTGAAACACGATAAGAAGATAGTACTGAATTGTGTTCAACTCGATGAATTCGGTAGGCATGTTTGATTATTTTATCACAGCCTTTTTGTCAGGTCACTCTAAAAAGGACTAGTGATTCATCTGGAAATGGAAATGTGCCTGTAAAATAGCAAATATGACCTTCATCGTTTTCGATGGAGACGCATTAAATGATCACGGTGTATAAATTCTGACCAATCTTGTAGGAGAACTGACTCTTGTGAACAATGAATCAATGGATGGACAGACAGACGCTTTGCCACATAAAAAATAATCGTTAACTTTCTTTATTGTGTGCTTTTTCTCATTTTTTTGTGAATGAATTACACTCAGAAGATGAGCGTTGGGTGCAGGCGACCATAATTGTGTAAAAGCTAACTAACAGAACAACTATCTAAGATTTTTCAGTACAATTGTGGCTTTAAAATAAACACAATCTATTTTCTAAATAAACATCAACATATAACAATATAACAACAATAACAATAATATAATTACAACAATATTAAAGCACTCAAATCATTTTCTGTCTTGTTATTTCTTGTTTAGCCAACTCAATTTTTAATACCTTTGTAGTTCAGCATATCACACTGGGAAAAAATTACTAGAACTATTTTTGAACACACACATTGTCCTATACATGCATAGATAAACAACGAATAATTTAATAGGGATCACTTTGCATGAGCGTTACTGTCTGTCTGATTTAAAGAGGCCAGATGCTTATCCATCAGCTGTTATGTGTTCACATGTGTTTAAATGTTGGCTTGCTTAAGTAAGTGGAGCGCCCTCTGTTGGGTTTGAGTTAAACAGCAGTAAAGACTCAGTGTAGTCAGTCACCTCCAGGTTAACTGATATTTACTGACTTTTGGAGGTTGTTTTGTTTTTCTTTTATGACTTCATGAAATGAGATCATCTACTGGCCGGTTCTGGTCCTCAGAACAAACTGTTTTGATGTGAGTTGCTGAGTTATAGAGATACACTCTCTGGTCACTTTTCAATTGCAAATATCTAATCAGCTAATCACATGGCAGCAACTCAGAGCATTTAGAAATGTATACATGGTCAAAATGACCTGCTGAAACTCAAACTGAGCATCAGAATGGGGAAGAAAGGTGAATTACGTGCGGTATTTTCACCACACAACCATCTCTAATGTTTTGAGAGAAAGGTCTGAAAAAGAGAAAATACCCAGTGAGAAGCACTTCTCTGTGTGATCCCTTTAGCAATGCCAGAAGTCAAGAGGAGAATGACCAGACTGCAATCCTTCCTTGTATCAGTGGTTCAGGTTGGTGGCAGTGGTGGTGCAATAGTATGAGGGCATATTTTCTTGGAACCTTGGGTCCCTTAGTACCATGTGAGCATTGTTTAAACACCACACCCTACCTGAATATTGATGCTGACCCTGTCACACATCTTCTGACGGCTGCTTTGTCACAAAACTCTAATCATCTCTTGGAACAGGAAATTCACATCATGGATGACAAATCTGCAGCAACTGTGTGATGCTATCATGTCAACATGGACTGAAATCTCCAAGGAATAGTTCCAGCACCTTGTCGAATCTATGCCACAGAGAATTAAGCCAGTTCTGAAGGCAAAATGAGGTCCAACACAGTACTAGCAAAGTGTATCTAATTAGATGGCCAGGGAATGCAAGTTATACCTTGTGGTGCCAAAAAAGAAAAGAAAACTCAGCAGCAATGCCTATTGGAAGAAATCATGATTTAGTTAATCAAACTTGTGTGCAAATCTCTTTCTATACCAAACCAGATCTGCCAATCCTATGATTCTGCAGAAGAAAGA